CAGTTTTTTAGGCACTGAAAACGATTTTGTAAATCGAGCTGAAAGTTTTCGGGACTTTGGATTAGAGCACGAGGAGAACACAGCGTTGACTTCATTATACGTGACCTCTCCAGCTCGACGTTTAGGTTCAGTATGCCTCTCACCATTCGGTGATCGCTAGTCGTCATAATGAAGTTAATCTCATTTTCGTCGATCCGTGGTGGCTCAATCAGGTCAAATTTTTGTGTGGTCGCTTCTAAAAAAAAGAGTTCATAATCAAGTCCTTTTTTCTCCATGAAGTCAGCCAGCTACTGACCCCTTAGATTCCGTTGCCCTATCGCAAATTTTCCTACCTTCAGCTCACCGTACTATTTTGTGCGTAGTTTTGCGTTGAAGTCTCCCATTAATACCGTGTAATGGTTTTTGTGGAATGTATGGCTTTTGATATATCCTCATACATTTCCTCGACCTCCTCATCGGGATTTGCCGAGATAGGTGCATAAACCTGAATGACCTTCAGCGAATACTGTTTGATGATTCTGAGTATAAGGTAAGCAACCCTCGTCGACACACTCGCAATTTTTACAACGTTGTAAATGAGAGACTTGTGGACGATAAATCCGACACCTTCTTGGGACAGGTGGTCGCCTCCCCAGTAGAAAAAGTTGCCGGATATGAGGATTTTCGTGTCCTTTACCTCTTTTAGGACCTTGGATAATCCTATAATATTCCAGCGCAACTTGTCTGTTTCTTCTTCCAGCTCTAGGATCTTATCGTCAGTCTTCATATTGCGTGCGTTGTATGTTGCCAGGTCGAGTCAGGCTTATGTGCAACTGAACATCCTCCACTAAAGTTACTTAGCACCCCCTGCCCCGCCGTCACTATGGTCGCCACCGGGACGAAGAATATCAGAGCCGCCGCGGACTGGGACCGTCTCTTCACAGCTCTCATCATAGGGGGTATATTGACATAGTTGCCATGCTTGGCAAGCGGTTTGGCAACCGCAGTTTTCCTATTGTTATATTGTTGTTATCAGAAAGGTGCTGTTATCCCATCTTCAACCTCAATTTCCCTCTGTCACCCTACACCCACGGAAAGATATGTGGTAGTAGTTGCCCGCCTAAATGAAATAAATTCATCGACTTTTTAGACTCCAGACGCTATAAATGTATATATGGCTTCGTTTTTCCCGGAAAAGTAGGACGTCTTCCCCTGACGTACTTTTGTCTAAACAGGAGAAGTAGACCTCTTTTGTGAGCTTTACAGCGCGAGAGCGTACGCTTTTTTAGGGATGGGTTTTGAACGATGTTCTTCTTAACAAGAGCAAATCCGTCATCTTCGTTTCCAATTTCATATCCATAGAGAATTCGTAAATTGCCTCATAGGGTGAATATCTGCCACAGTCGCCACACTTGGCGAGTTGGCTAGCATCCACAGTTATATTTTTATATAACCACTGGTATTGTTTTATTTTTAGTATAAATAAATTATATTAAAATACTGTTTAAGCTTATATTAAATTTTTTTTAGTTAATTCATTTTTATTGATTTTGGAATTGTAGGAGGACCTAAGCAATGTATACAATAGTATTTCCCAACGGATAGGTCTTAAGATGAACATAGACGAAACAAAGATCATATTTAATGTCGATGTCACACCTATGCCGGTAGTTGTTGGAAGCACTAAGCTCGAAGTTGCTGACGAGTATGTTTACCTGGAACAAATAGTCTGACTAGGTGAATCCAACTTTGACCGAGAAGTCAATCGACGGATTCAACTCGGCTGGGCAGCGTTCGGGAAATTATGACACATCTTCTCGTCAGGTATACCTTAAGACCTGAAAACTAGATGATACAACCAGTGCGTGTTGCCAGTTTTATGGATCTGAGACGTAGGCCTTTACTGCTGACCGTATGATGACGCTCAAAATCGCTTAGTGAGACATGAATAGGGCTATGCTCGTGGTTTCCTTGCGTGATAAACTTAGAAATGAGGATATCCGCAGTAGAACCAGAATGACCATCATATCCCAGAGGATTAGTTAGCTGAAATGGCAATGGACCGGCCATACTTACGTGGTAGAGCCGCGCTGCAGCTATATTATGGTTGTTGCACGATAGGTTTGGCTCGTCCGGGTAAGGATTACGCTCTCACAGAAGACCAGCGTAAAATAGCAGCTTAATACTGCTGTGTTTCGTATGGTGACTGTAGAGAACTGGAGACCCTCTTTACTGAAAAGGATGCTTCCATCTTAGTCCTCACGGGTGACAACGCATCTGCGTTTTGATTCTTAACCGAGGATAAATGTAGATATCTATAGACGACAGCATCCACTTACCATCAGGTGGACTGTGTGCTCGTTTATGACCCTTATTCAAATAAAATATATATAGCTCGAAGAACCTACAACCGATGGGAAAAAATGTTCTCAAGTGGCAGCTTCGTATCGGTAGGCGTAGTGTAGGACGACCTCCCACTAGATAAAGTGACGACGTGGTGAGAGACGTTCAGGAAATCGATGGATGCAGGTGGCTCAAGACCGTGCTTTGGGCATTCCCTGTAGTGTAGTGTAGTCCCTATGTTCAGTAGTGGACTTGTGAACAGTTATAATGATAATGATGATGATGATGGTGTATATTTCTATAACCTTATCTATTGCATGCACGGACTACGAATTGATTTGGGGTTTTAATACTGACTACATTTCTTTTAACTTTTATATCTGCCCTCACTTACAGGCGTGCAAATTGGCAATAGGCAAAAATTGTTGAGGCACAAATTTTATGCTCTACATTTTTCTTATTGTAAGTCTTTTTAGCTTATCCCACTATTCTCTTAGCATGAATATTTTCATGGGAAAATAGGTTTTTGGATTCCTCTCGAAATTCAGTCGGGTTGCTCAATATTTCCGTTTAAATACTTGTTTCACTGGAATAAAGACCTCTATACTGATACATGATATATGATAGACTGAAGGCTTCGTGGAAAACTTAAGTTATTTGTTTGGTTTTTCATTTTGGTTTAATATTACCAAATAAAGAAAAATTCATACCTTATAACACTCTCAGAACTTAAAAAAAGGATTTCAAATAACTGTTATGTAAGAGAAAAACGTTTTTTTTTTAAATTATATTCGGTGGATTGACATCAGAAAGCAAAGATTATGATAAACAGTCCATTGGGAATCCAATTACATTACAATTTTTGATAGACATACATTACACAACGCGTTAATGGCGCGTTATCTACGTTCACCAAAACATACAGACAATAAATAACATTCATACAGTCGTACAAATCTACATTTTTGGCAAAGTATTGCTATGAAATATTAATACTTAACTTATTACATATTTAATAATAGAGAAATAATTACATTATTGTATAATACAAGTACTATATAATGCAAAGACAGTTTAGTTTGTAATAAATAAATATTTATTACTTTTAATGTGTATGAAGGGTTTTCGAGTGGTTGCCCTGTCATAAGCAAACTATAAAGTCTTCCACTAGCTGGGGAGACGATCTGGTAAGACATGCAGGAAGATGATGGATGCAGATGGCTGTTTTTTTGTGGCATTCTTTGCGGGAGGCCTATGTTATGCAGACAATTTGGGAAGTGATGTTATGGTGATAATTTCTATAAATTCGTAAGTATTGTTATTATTTTGTAGTAGAAGCCACATTTTCGCATTGAATTCGTTTCTTGTGTTTTACTGCGGAAATATTTTAATAGTTCATTTACATTGTGTCCCGTAATATCTATAACTATCATTTTGTAAGAAATAAAATAAAAATTTACACTTATCTATACTTATCATCCGTCGTAGCTCAAATAGTTAGCGCTCGCTGCAAGCAACCCGGGTTCGATCCCCGCCACCACCAATAAAATTGTTATATGCAATTTTAAGTGCAGATTTACCACGTGCTCGGCGGAGAAGGAAAACATCGTGAGGAAACCTACATGTCAGAGAAATAAGAAAATGATACTTAGAAGACATGTGAAGTTCGCCAATACGCAATGGGGCAGCGCCTCCTAAAACCCTCTCAGAATTGAGGAGAGGCCTGTGCCCAGCAGTGGGATGTATATAGACTGTATTTTTTTATTATCTATACATATCACAACCACATGAAATATCTATATACTTAGTTTACAAGCTTAGAGAAGGTAATAGATATTCTAACAATTTCATACAATTAACATTTGATCTATACAAAAATATCTACGACACGTCCGCCAATAAAGTTAGTAACATGTTATTTGGCAAAAGGACAAAGCTTAATTCGTTTCGGGTCCAAACCTTAGTTAGTGGATAATTTAAATAACTTCAAAGGCATGGTAAGAAACATAAGCAAAATTACTACAAGCGTATGTACAGAAATTTAAAATTCAAATTTTATTTTTGTATGGAAGAGGTCACTTTCAGAATGATAAGTGAACGTTTCTTGTACATATATTTGAACATGTTCTCTATTCATTTTCTATATTTAGATATACAATAAAAAAAATAAAAAATTAAGTTACTTAAAAATATTTTTCTGATGTGTTTAACATTCCTTTTAAGACTTATATTAGATTATTTGAAAATATTTTTAAATTATTCGTATTCCAGTGAACCTTTACAACTAAAATAAATGTCTTTATATGTTTCGTTCATTTTTGATTGGGTTTTATAATAATTTAGTGGGTAAATTCAATGGGCACTCTTTAATTTAAATTACAAATATAGACAAATATAAATTTAAAAGTCATTAATGGCTTAAACGATAATACAGTAATTATACCGTTTTTTTTCTGTAAAATAGTTTTAAAATGATTTTTTTTTCTTTAGTTTTAATATTGGATACTTAGTTTGATACCCAAAAGATATCCATATAACTTAACATCAAAACAACTCTCACTTCAAGTTCCATGCTACTTGGTATCGTTTTTCACATCGTGTTGCAAGCTCGGCTTCGTCGATAAAGGTTCATTTTGCTAAAAGGATATTTAAGAAAATACAAAATAAAAGTCATCGGGCTATGCACTAAAGTGTAGTATTTTTCGAAAAGCCTTTCGAAATTCGGGATTAAAAATGGTATAGATGACTGGATTGAGGAACGAGTTGATGTAGCCAAGCCACGTGGTGAAGATGAAAACGGTGACGCCCGGCGAGTAGGAGAGTTCGAACTTCGTGCAAAGGGCGTCTAATACTGAGCAGGTAAAAAATGGGGCCCAGCAAAAGAGAAAGACGCCTGTGGACAAGAAAAATAGTTAATATATAGTTTTTGATCAATACAATAGAATTATGATATTATAATTCTACACATAGAATACAGACATAGTAGTCTACAGATATGTAGTAAACAACAAGTGTTTTGAAAAATTGTGTATATTTTTTAATATATAACGTTTTATTTCTTATTGATATATTGTCATCCGACATTGAGCTATGTTTTTATTTTATTGGCTACATTTTAAAATTTCTTGGTGACTTGAATTTTTAAGCGTCTTATTCACGGTCCTTCTTGCTGCACATTGCGCCCAGGTCATGGTTCCGCCCAGGCTTGCTGTTTCATAATAGACATTGACGGTATGAACGTAAATAAATGTTTATTTGAATTTAATATATAAATTTATAAATTTTAGCTTTTGCGCTCCTGCTCCATAAAAATAGGAACGCGAGATTTGGCATAGTTAAATAAACTTTAGCTATGCCAAATCTCATATTTCTTTGTGCGCGCAATATTCTTTAAAAGGGGTAATAAAGCTTTGCATTCACGTAATAAAATAGAGATATTTTATTAGAGGGCTAAGACGCTGTCACCACAGAATTTTTATTTATATAACACTGACTGAATAATTGCTCCAAACATTTAATCGTACGAGGATGGAACTAACCCAGACGGACTTTTAAGCAGAACAGGAATCTTACCACCTAGCACCACCTAGCAATAAGGTACGTGAGGATAATATTGTAACCATAAGGTTTGCCGTCCTATAAAGCCAAAACTAGGAGAAGACAGAGACAAAAACACAAAGTTGCATACTATAACTAATATATTTAAAAAACATAGCAAATAAACTTTGGTAATAATTAAAAACAGTTGCTTAAAAAATTAAATAAGTACACTAAAACATTTACTATAAAGTTAACTGTCAAAATGGCGTCGATAAAGCATCGACCTTCGACCGGCATCGCCACAAAGCCATCTATGCAAACCAGGCGACGATGACCATATAACCCTCACGTACTATATTATATCTATGGTGAGCAACAGCAGTTTTATGACATAGTAAAGCAATGCTGCAACTATGATATGATTTTAGCACGAATCGATCGGCATGACCGTGGACGGACCACGCATCTCAGTATACCAGCATTAAATATTAGAACAATGTAGCTGTGTTTCGTATGGTATGTGTAGAGAACCTGAGACTTTTCTTACGTAAAACAGGGTATTCTATCTTAGTCCTCAAGGGTAAGTATGCATCTGCATTTTGATTCTTAATCGAGGATAGATGTAGATGTATATGGATCAAAGCATCCACATACTATCAAGTGGGCTGTGTACTCGTTTATAACCATAGAATACTGTAATACACAATAGAATGGCTGTCAACTTTATTTTTTAATTCGACTCTTTGACTCGATTCGCTGTGTTGACAGACTGAGTAAATTAACACATTTTAGACTTTTGATTAATGTTCAAGATCATCATTAAATTTTAATACATATTTATTTGTAAATAGGGTGAAATATTTTCATTTTCTAAATAATTTGCATGCGAAATTTGGAAACGTTTGTAACGTCAAAACACATCTCGTGTTGGGATTGATACGTGTGAATATACTAGAGACATTTTAGTGACTACGCGGGCTCCACCCACTCCCCCGTTCTTTTATGTATGTATTATAGTATTCTATGTTTGTAGCTCTTATTCTTTCTAGTCAATATATAAACAAATATTGCCGTCCGTTAGTCTTGTTAAAACTCAAAAACGGCTCGAACGATTTTGATGATTTTTTTTTGTGTACTTTGAGTTATATTTACAACTGGACTATTGGAATTGGTTCGATATCTATCTATGTATGAAAAATCTTGAGCCATTTAAAGACAAGCATCAAATATATAAAGTAAAATTAATATTAATAACGTAAATAATAAACGTGTTTGTACTTAATTTATATTTTTAAATATATGAAAAAATACCTAAGACAATTGCAAGGGTCTGTGTAGCCTTTTTTTCTTTCTTGGCAAACGACTTGGCTCGCAGTTTGCCAGCTCTGTTTGCACGGAATATTGTGAAGCGAGCTGCCGAAGCCGCACTCTTGAAGCGTTTTCGAGGAGTGATGATCACCGAACTAGCGCTAATTCGACTTAGTTTCTTTCTGTTATAAAATATACAAAGTATTTATATGAATTTAATGTCATATACCATTACCATTATTTTTATTTATTTATTTATTCTTAATTTTATACCTTAATTCAAAGGATTATAAATGGCGAAATAATTGCCACTCAGCTTTCTCTCCCAATCAATCCGGAACGTGTGGAAAAAAATGTCATATATGCCAAAAATAACAGAACATTATTGTAAATGAGGAAGAATAAGAATGTCAAAGTTCACATAAGGGGGATCCATTAGGCAGAATATAAGCCTAATGGATCCCCGTTACGAGTCAATCTATGATAGATTGCCTCATAGGGAGGACATTCAACTTAGTTGCCACGTTTGGCAGGCGTGATGGCAAACGCAGCTTCTTTCTGATTTTTATTATTACGAAAACTGCTGCTCATTTGCTAGTTTCTTTTTATGTCGCTGGTCGCGTTAATGACCAAAAATGATGCAGTGTTGGGGTCTTAGGTTCGATTCCCGGGTCGAGCTTCGATCTTATTATGCTTGAACGATTTTCTTGCTGGGCTGTATGCGCGGCTTCCCACAGCCAAAATGAGATGGCTGATGTGGCACGTGGCAGTTCTTGGGCAATTCACTCGCTATTCCAAATCTACTATTTCGCCAGTGTCCCGAGGTGGAATTATACTTGAGCCGTTAGGGGAGAAAAATATTTCAAAAAAATAAAACGGCTCAAGGCAAATTAAGGAGCACTTACCGGGGTGGGGTTCCCTATACTGGAGGCCTCGTGGACGACGCTCTTGGTCGTTGGACGAGGGTGGTGTGCTACGATAGATTTCACTACGTGACGCGGTAATTACTAGCGGTTCTACTATGGCGCGACTGCCACAGAGGTGCAATCACAACTAGCGATGTTCTTCGACCACTGCAAGAAGGAGCGGCGGCCGGGGTCGTCCTTATATGGGTCGACCATTTTTACCACTTCCATCTTGGCCAAAATCGTACCACATAATTTAGCTTCTTCGCCTTTCCGTGCGTGTGGAATGGAATGCGTAATAGGACGGAAAGAGACACTGACAAACAATAACCAACTGAACAAAATGTGAGAGTACCCGTTTCTTTTTTCCTCGCAACCAGTCGCCTATATATATATGATGGTAATGATTTAGTATCAAATAACATATTTTGCTCTTAATATTATATTATAAAGGAGACAGGCGAATTTGGGCCTAACGTTACACAAGTGAAATATTTATCAATATTTTTTTACAGTTTTTTTGTAGTTAATTATGAAATATTAAACAGTTTTATCATGGCAAAAGAAATTAAATATTTAATAAAAATATTACTGACTTCCGTTATTTTCATTTTCAAACAATGCTGCCAGATGAAATAGGTTAGTTAATCGATTTTAATACAAAAATAGAAAAAAAAGACAATAAAAAATGATTCAGTCTTTTCTTCTTTAGGTAAGTTTAAGAAAATTATTATTTAAATAATGGTTTCCTCGTGACACTTCAACGTTTCAAGAGTCGTAAAAATAAATTGACTGATTATTCAGTCAATTTATTTTTACGATTTATTTTTAATCTATATTAATGAATTGATTTCATAATCGATTATCAATGTTTTATACAGGCCACAAAGCGGAAATGTCAACGTTAGTTCAAAAACTCAAACGTCAATCAAATCATTTGTTACGTTTGTTTGGCTCTGAGCTTGCAGTGGTAGTGAATATTTTCTGTTGTTTTTGTGTGCTGTAATAATATTCTGATCTTTAACGACTCTGGCTACGTATAAAGGATTCTGACGGTTTATTTTCTGATTTTACAAGAATACACGTGCAAAATAATAACTTAAATGATTTTCCCCAGCTCACAAAGTGATATAATAAAAATATCTTTAGGTATTTATCAAATTAAGTCGACTAGGTACCATTATTGAGAATATACAACATGGAAGATTTGAAATAGAAGTGTGTCGAGAAACGGACAGCAACCTACTAAACTAAACCTAAACCCAAACCCAAGCATACCACTGCAAGACTTCATAATACTGTTACGAGCTTGAGGTTCGTGACAATAAAAATTGCCGATAGAATTACCTAAATTAACACTTTAATTCGCTTTACAATAATTAAAGTTAAAAAACACCAATAATTAATCACACTGATTCCCTTTATTCCGCTCCGAAGCTTCGCGTGTCTCGCCAACTTCAATACTTCCCCGATCGCGTATTGCAGCGCCTTTATATAGGGCTCTTCCACGAAAACATTCAGAATATTCCAGAATATTCAAGTAAATACGCGCGCCAACCGACCAAGCGCAGAAAGATCGAATGTAGAGCTTCTAGAAAGTTTAGTTCTTCAATTTGATACTAGATGGCGCTGTCGGTTAAAAAATTAGTTATGTCATTTTCTGGAAAGGTCTCTCCTCGCTCTGTTACCCGACACTAGATGGCGCTAGAGCTAGCATGCCATGAGATGAGATGTCAACTTAGCCGCACAACACAGCCCCCTCCTAAGACATGCTCGTCCCGAGCATTATCGGCCCCATAATAACGCGCCAGGCGATCCACATGGACGATCTTAGGAGTCCCTCTTGCGCCTTTCTGTATCCGGTAGGTTACATCGTTGATCCTGGTCACAATCCGGTACGGGCCGTCCCATTTAGCTTGAAGCTTAGGAGATTTCCCTTTGCGGCGGACCTGATTATGCAACCACACTAGCGAACCTTCGTCGAACCCTTTGTTGTTCATTTTGCGGTCATACCGGGTTTTCATCTTTTCAGACATTCGCTGGCCCGATTGTCTGACGTGCTCGTAAATGTCATTCATTTTGTTCCGCAAGTCATTTGCATAATCGGTTATACTACGTGGGGCATCAGGTGGTATCCCGGTGATCAGGTCTGCAGGCAGCCGTAATTCTCTCCCAAATTTTGCGAAAGCTGATGTCACTGATGTACTTTCGTGAACAGCGCTTCGATATGACAACAAAAACGGCTGTATGTGCTTGTCCCAATCTCGTTGCCGATTGTCTACAACTTTTGCTAGGTACCTCTCCAATGTCTGATTAAATCGTTCTACCATTCCATCAGATTGCGGGTGATAAGAAGTCGTTCTCGTTTTATGAGTGCCCATAACTCGGCAAGTTTCCTCCAGGAAACTTGAGACTCAAAATTCCTTCCTTGATCGCTGTGAATCTCTAAAGGTACTCCAAAACGACAGAAGACTTCATGAACTAGTTTATCTGCAACCGTTGAAGCTTCTTGATTTGAATGACGAAGACTTCTGGCCACTTAGTGAAGTAATCCATCACAACCATGAAATACTTGTTACCGCTTTCACTCTCCGGAAACGGCCCCGCCACGTCAATGGCTATTCTCTCCCATGGTGCACCAACATTGTACAACTTCAATGCACCTCTACTACGAGTCTGAGGTCCCTTTACAGCCGCACAACTTGTACATTTGCGACACCAGTCCTCGATATCGTTTCGGCAGTGAACCCAGTGAAACCGTTCTCGGATCTTCAGTAGACTTCGTTTAACTCCCAGATGACCTCCTGAATAATCATTATGGTACAGCTGTAATACATCCGGTACTTTAGCTTTAGGGACAACCATTTGCAAATGACAGCTGTCTCCCCGAACACTTTCCCATTTACGGCACAGAACTCCATCCTGAAGCAACCAGCTGTCCCACTGGGCCCAATAGCTCTTAGTGGTCGAACTCATCGCTGAGACGTCGCTCCACTTGGGCTTGGGAGCACTGGCCTTCATCCATTCCAGAATCGGCTTGATGTCCGGATCTTCCTGCTGTGCACGTTGTAAGCTGTCCTTCCATTCGTTGCTGAGGTGGTCTGCCCTGAGCATCCTCACGGATACCACTTCCTTACTCTCTTGCCTAGTACAATGTTTGCAATCTTTAGGACAAGGTCTTCTTGACAATGCATCTGCGTTGCCATGAGATTTCCCGTTGCGATGTTCGATCTCAAAGTCATATTCCTGCAGTAGTTCAATCCACCTCGCAACTTGTCCTTCTGGATTTTTAAACTGCAATAGCCATTTCAGTGCAGCATGGTCAGTTCGTAAGTGAAATTTCCACCCCAGAAGATATTTGCTAAAATACTGCAACGACTTTACCACAGCTACCAATTCGCGTCTTGTGACACAGTAGTTCCTTTCCGGTTTTGACAATGACTTGCTGAAGTACGCTATCACGACCTCTTGGTCACCATTCCGTTGAGACAACACACCGCCAAGTCCTATATCACTTGCGTCAGTGTCAACTATAAATTCTTTGCTTGCATCAGGGTATCCCAAAATAGGTGTTTTGCACAGATGGTCCCTGAGCTCCTGGAATGCGATATTGCAACTTTCATCCCAGCAGAAATGTCGCTTCTCCTAGGTTAGCTTGTGCAGAGGTTTGGCTATATCTGCAAAGTTCTTCGCAAATCGCCGGTAATAGGAGCACAAACCCAAAAATGATCTTACCTGCGTCTTGTCTTTGGGAACGGGCCAATCCTTGACAGCAGCGATTTTCTCTGGATCCGTGCGGATACCTTCTTCCGATACTACATACCCCAAAAAGTTAACTTGCCGTTTGAATAGTGAACATTTCTTCAGACTCAACTTAAGGTTGGCAGTCTGAATCTTCATGAGCACGCGTTCCAGGTTTTGAAGGTGTTTCTCAAACGTCCGACCCACGATGATGATGTCATCTAAGTAGACCAGACAGGCATCGCCAATTAGCCCGGTAAGTACAAGTTCCATCAGCCTTTCAAACGTTGCTGGAGAATTGCACAACCCAAACGGCATTACCTTAAATTGCCACAGACCCTTTCCCGTCGAGAACGCAGTTTTCTCCTTGTCCTTAGAGTCAATTTCAACTTGCCAGTAGCCACTTTTTAGATCCAGCGTGCTAAACCACTTTACTCCTGTAAGCATGTCCAGCGTGTCATCAATTCTTGGCAAGGGATAGCTGTCCTTCTTCGTAACGTCGTTCAGACGGCGGTAGTCAACACAAAACCGCATGCTGCCATCCTTCTTCTTCACCAGCACCACGGGTGAACACCATGGACTAGAGGAAGGTTCAATAACACCATCCTTCACCATTCCTTCAATCATGGTTTCCACTTCCTTTTCACGTGCTACCGGCAATCTTCTTGGCCGCTGACGGATAGGCAATTCTTCTCCTGTGTTTATTTTGTGTTAAACTAAGCCAGTCTTTCCAATGTCAGCATCGTTTGATGAGAATACATCGGCGTACTTAGCAACAACTTCTTCGCCTTGACCAATTCGGTCGGGGAGAGAACGCTGCGACAGTCTTCAAAAAGTGTGGTCACTCTCGTTTGTGCATCTTTGCTGGGGGTCTCACTCGATAGATTTTGGCACCGCCGTAACCAATCCACTTCCTCACAATTACCAACCAGCGTGCCTTTTTCTATAATCTTTTCCCGGTCACAAAGGTTCAGCACACGTACTCCTGAGATGTCAGTGGTTCTGACCAAGGTTCGAGCTACTTTCCATGGAAGGTCATCGTTTACCCTTTCCACAAGTACACAACGGTGAGCTTGCCCATCGTTTCGGGGAAGACGGAAGATCTCGGCGGAAGAACAATCTTCTTAATGCTGTACACGTCCCCTGGTAACGCACCTTCCATAAAAAGTTCCTCTTGTCCACATTTCAAAACACCTTGCTTAACGTCGATCTCACAATAATTATTTCTCATAAAGTCTAGGCCTAAGATGCAGTCGTCCATTATATCAGCCACGATGACATTATGCAGGTAGATCACGTTGCCTAGCTTCAACTCCATCTCCTTCTCTCCACGGACGGGTATACGCTGACCGGTGGCTGTTACCAAATTAATGCGTTCTCGGTTGTATGCGGAGTCCCCAAGGAACTGACTTATAAGTTGGGAACTAACAACCGTACGAAAGGCTCCAGTGTCTATGGTCAGTTTACACGGCATTCCGTTGACCTCGCCCTTGATGATTAGACTGTTGAGATCCTTGGGGCTCTTTTAACATCAGCCAGCACCCACCCCGCAGTTCTGGCTTTTACTCGTTTCCCTGCTGCTACTGGGCGGTGCTGTTGGCCGCACTACCCTCTTGAGGTCGTTCACGTTCCCTTTCTAGGGTTCGCTTAGGGCAGCTGGATCGAAGATGGCCTTTTTCCCCACAGCCATAGCACCTAGGGCTGTATCCTTTGTTGCGGTCGCGTATTGTAGCTGCTGCAACCTCCCTGATGCGATGGGAACGATGATCCTGCCGCACGGCTTCCACCTCCAGTGCATGGGACAAGGCGTCTTTAAGTGTCTCGTGGTGCCCGAGCCTCACAGCAGCTCTGACTTTCAGGTCGCGAATGCCGTCGATGAATGTCTGCACCAGGTTCTCTTCAATGAGCGCAGGTGCAGACTGGTATGCTTTTCGCACCAGCTTCTCCATCTCTAGAGCCCGCTGCTGCAGGTTTTCGTTGCTACGTTGCACGCGATCTCTAAGCTGCGCTCGAAAGACGTGTTCCAGGTGAGCGTCGCCATATCTAGCCTCCAATGCCTCAAGGAGCTGCTCGTAAGTCACTTCTTTACCGAGAGCTTCTAGAACAGTTAAGGCCCGGTCGCGCAGGCCTAGTGTGAGAGCAGTCATGGCCTGACTTTTATTCCAGCCGTTTGCCTTCATAACAGCCTCGAACTGGATTTTGTAGGCCGCCCAGGAAGAAGTCCCGTCAAACGACGGCACTTTGAATCCACGTACTGCAGGTGTTGTAGCTACTACGGGATGTGTAGTTCCATCCCCCAGTTTGAGATCGTCCAGCGTTTTCTTCACATCAGCCACCACGTTGTCTACCCGATTGTTCACTTGGTCGATTTGGGTTTTAGCTTCCTTGATTTGGGTTTCAGCCTTCGCGATTTGGGTTTCAGCTTCCGACAGGTGGTTGTCATGCTGAGCAACCCTATCCTTAACCTCCTTTATCTCCTTCCCGAAGGTAGTGTGAAGATCCTTCATGAGGAGCATTTGCTCTTCGAACCGACGGGCCTGTTCCTCTTGTCCGCCACGCAGCTGTTCTTCCAAACGACGGACCTGTTCTTCTTGTCCGCCCCGCAGCTGCTCTTCCAAACGACGGACCTGTTTCTCCTGTCGGCGAGCCTGTTCCTCCTGTCGGCGAGCCTGTTCCTCCTGCTGCTCTTTCAACAGACGGGCCTGTTCCTCTCGTCCGCGCTGCAGCTGCTCCTGTAGCATCGCCATCAGAGCAACTAAGTCAGGTGCTGCAGATGCAGGAGCTAATGACGGGCCCGCAGCCTCCGTGGCTGGTAGTTGGCCCTCCAACGTCTGCGCCGTTGCACCACCAAATCTCCTCTGGTCCGTCTCATGCTGGCGTTGACTGCAGGTACGGACACCCTCCGTTTCCTCCTTAGGTAAAATCGGCATGATTTTATCCCACTTCTGACACCAATTGTTACGAGCTTGAGGTTCGTGACAATAAAAATTGCCGATAGAATTACCTAAATTAACACTGTAATTCACTTTACAATAATTAAAGTTAAAAAAACACCAATAATTAATCACACTGATTCACTTTATTCCGCTCCGAAGCTTCGCGTGTCTCGCCAACTCCAATACTTCCCCGATCGCGTATTGCAGCGCCTTTATATAGGGCTCTTCCACGAAAACATCCAGAATATTCCAGAATATTCAAGTAAATACGCGCGCCAACCGACCAAGCGCAGAAAGATCGAGTGTAGAGCTTCTAGAAAGTTTAGTTCTTCAATTTGATACTAGATGGCGCTGTCGGTTAAAAAAATTAGTTATGTCATTTTCTGGAAAGCTCTCTTCTCGCTCTGTTACCCGACACTAGATGGCGCTAGAGCTAGCATGCCATGAGATGAGATGTCAACTTAGCCGCGCAACAATACTATAAGCGCATTTTGCGTAAATCGGACCAAAAATTAATATTCAAAAACTGAAGGTAGCCGGACTAACTATGAGATTGGGACGTCAAACATCTCAGTCCCCCCGTGACCATGGGTGCTGTAAAGCATTCGAAACGTCGGGATAACAAAAATAATTTAAAGTAATTAAATGCGATAAAATCCGTAAATAATAGTTTTATTCAAAATAAAAGATTGTCAGGAACCTAATAAAATATTGATTTTATAATATAAATGCTTACTTTAGCTGAGGTTTCTTTAGTACAGCATTGTTCTCTTCTCTCTTCTTATCTTCTTTTTTATTGGGGGACGGTGGGGGTGTGTGATCTTTCTCTATTTCTATGTTTGAAGGTACGTAGCCAGAATCATTGTTTGTGTTTGGATCCATCATCGGTATTGGTGATGCTAAATTTGCCATAATCCTGTTAGTTAAAGAGAAAGTTAAAAAATAACACCCCTGTTACAGCCAACAGTCGAAACTACGCAAGTTTTGTAGATGCAAATCGATGAATACATGAAGACGTAATTCACTAATGTATAACATTTAAAGTCAGCAATAACATGTAGATTTTTTTGTAATAGATGCATGAGAATTTTTTAAATAAATAAGGCCATTATTTACTAAAAGACTCTCTTAAAGCAGTTGCAAAAATATTTAAATATTTAGTAGTGATATTTGCGTTCACAGAGTGTAAAATATTTAACCTGATTTTTATTATCTATTTAGATATACATCTACTCGTATAATGGTAGCACCATTGTACCTATTTCTACTGCATCTCAGTTTGAAAGTATGCTGTGAGGCATTCATCAAGGGGAACGCGATGTGTTAACATCTAGTTACAAAGCATCTGCGGCGTTCTTTGTTGTGAGTTGGTTACAGGTGCTGGTTCCACTGCTGTTTCACTGATTTATGGGCGACAGTATCCATTTACCATCAGGCGAGCCGCATGCTCGTTTACTATTCTTATAAAATAAAAGTAAAAAGATTGGTAACTGGTTTCAATCGGATGCAGTAACCACTGGTAGACACGGTAGACCATAAGCTTGTTACTCTAATATTATAAAAAATCTCCCATAATATATAGTATCGAAAATGCAAGTTGGAATATATCTTTCTTGGCTATATCTTCGATGATAAGACACTCACGGGAAGATATATCATTTTTAATTCACACACACACACACACACACACATATATATATATATATATATATATATATATATATATGTATGTATATAATTTGTCACACAAAATCTATAAAAAAATACGACCAAACTGAGTTCGCTAACGTTTTAAGGTTCGTCGGCTAACAACAATCTAAAAGGTGTATAGTACTTTTATTTTTGCACTATATGTGTATGGTTTAGTTTTACATGCTTATCGAAATAAAGATAATTAAGTACTTACAGACCAGTTTCTTCTACTACTGCAGCAAGCATAAATCTCGTAGATCGAGTGTTAGCTAACTCGTCCACATAGACTCCCATCTCCGTACGGTCGTAACTGGAAGCACAGGACCTATTTTCATTATTAATTAGAACTGCCTCGTTGGTCTAGTGGTTGTAGTAGTGCGACTGCTAATCATGAGGTCCTGAGTTCGCATCCCGGGTCAGGCTAAAAATTAATTATTGAGTTTTTCCGTCAAGAAATCTCAGTAGCTGCCCGGAGTCAGGAAGTTTCTCTCTCCTGTCGTGTCGGTTTACCGTCCCATCGGATTATAAGAGTGAGGGAATAAAGAGTGCACCTGTGCTTGCACATACACTTGGGCACTATAATCCTGTCCTGCGCCGATGGCTAGCCTCCGTTGAGGTAGGTCGCCGTGGCCGGAATTCGGTCTGGAGGACATTTTTATTATTAATTAGAATTAACAGGACTGCCTCATTGGTCCAATGATCGTGAATGCGTTTACTAATCATTTAATTCAGGATTCGAATCCCGAGTCGAGTCAAAACCTGTTATTCGGTTTTTCTGAAAAAAATCTCAGTAGAAGCCCGAAATCAGGAAGTTGTCAGGCAGTTTCACCTCCATACCTCTAAAAGCACGTACAGTCGTTATTTTAACCGGTCATTTTAGATTACTATTATTAGACTGTGAGTGTGAGGGAATAGAGAGTACAACTGTGCTTGTGCATACACTCGGGCACTATAAACGTGTCCTGCACAGATCATCGTTGTCGTTGTGCAGTATCACCATTGAGACTGGCCGCCACGACCGAAATTCGGTCTGGGAGACATAATTATTATGAATTAGCGTATCTTTTATTATCAATGTCCATCACAGCGACAATTTTTAAAAACTATCAGAAGCTTGATGAGGCATTTAATAGTGTATCTAATTGTATCTAATTGTTAACAATGAAATAACTCTTAAAATTCCCGTAAAATCCGATGTCATCAAGATCTAGTATTAGGGTCGCGTGAATTATAACTGATCACATCATCACTTTACCTTAATAAAAGGATTCCAAAGGACGGACTTTTCATTCTCTTCCAGCCAACCCGAGACGTGTGAATATAATGTGATGTGTTCCAAAATAGAAAAAACATAGTAAATAAGAAATATTACATTATATGGCCAACATAACACAAAATTTCTCACTTTTCATCTTCCTCATCTTCGTTGCTTCCAGAAGCAGTGTTTGTTGGTTTATCTTCTTGCAAGGTACATCCACTGTCATTAAGGCGGTTTTTGTCAGCGACGTTCTCAATAACTACTGCTGCAGTCCCGCTGGAAATTGTGGAGCCGATGGCCGATGAGGTTTTCTTGGCAATACGCTGCTTTTTCGCTCTTTTGCGGATAGCCTTAAAAATATTATATTTTCAGTTTTCCAGATAATCTGCTTTGTAACTGTGTGTGATATATAAAATTTGGTTGAGTGTAATATATAGAATGTAGATTTAATCGATATAAATAAAATAATGGAATGATTTGCGTTAGTTCATGACAAAATATTTTATTTATGTGGTGGTTAATTTTACTTTTCATTAATGTTTATTAAAATTAGTCGGATCAAAAGTAGGTGAAGGTTCCATTTGACTGTATACTTCTTTCTGTTTGTATGTTAAGCGATGACTTAATCAACTGTAAACTGATTTGGATTATTCCTTTATTTGCTGGAAAATTTCACTACTAAACGTGAAACACAACGCAGTAAAATTTTAATGTAACTATTACGACTGCATTCTAGTTGTTACCTTGAGCTTGTGATATTCTTTAGTACACTCAAAAGAGTCAAAAATATTCACCATTAATAAAATATAATAGGTGACCTAAAACGAATAGAACAAGTTCCACATAGCAGCGTTAGAAGTCGGAGATTTAATTCTTCTGTTCACTATTTCTGAGCACCAACAGCTGAAGAGAACTTAAAAATTAAGAAAATTAACGGATAGCAGTATATACCTAATCACTATAAATACAACCATTTACTACTACTATTTAATTGTTCTTAGGTGAAAGTTTAGAGGGCTAAAAAGTGAAAGCGTTATGTGGAATTTATTTTATTCTTTTTATTTTTTTTTTGGTTTCGACTTTTAATTTTAATGGTACTAAACTAGTACTCTGTTATACTAAACCTAAATTACATTTAAAAAATCCTTAAGTCGTTTTAGATTTCAATAAACAATTTTAAATTAAATTTAGCTGACCTTAAATATGTTATAGTACAGAAACATCATTATGATGCACGGTATGTAGAAGGAGCCAAGCGAGGAGTAGATGACGTAATCAGTGTTGTTGAAGAGACAAGCGTTGGGAGTACGGTCTGGCGTGTTGTTGAGACCCAAGACTACGGGCGAGCCGATCGCGCATGAGACCAGCCAGGCCACCCCGATCATGAGCCACACACGGGCGTTACTCTTGTGCTTAGCGTATGTTATTGGTTGTGTTACTGCGATGTATCTGTAAAAAGAACAAATAATGAAAAAATCGCCTTAAATATAGTAAAAAATAACTACGAGGTGGGTGTCATAAAAGGTGACACAGGGAAACAAACCAAGAAGAGATGGGTAGCAGCGAATACGTGATAGGGCCACGCTGCAGCTAGGTATATTATGATTGTAGCACGAATGGGTCGGCTCGACCAGGAAAGACCATGCTCTCACAGAATACCAATGTAAAACAGCAGCTTAATGCTAATGTATTTTATATGGTACTCACCAGAAAGTAAAGAAACGGAGACCATTTTTACTGAAAACTACACATATAAACAATAACATATATTTTATACGAAAAACTTAGAGATTAAAAAAATACGGATTGATAAAATAAGTGGTCTTTGAGTATTCTTAAATCTAATTTATAATTATGGATCCGTTCCAAGCAAAACCAGGGCAGGTCAATAATTTTAAATGATGATGTGAGTATGATCCTTGCTAGTAAATATTTTTATAAAATGAAAGTAATAGCATGCACACAAGTACAAATAGGAGATTTTTTATCAACGTGGCATATAACATTTACAATGAATTCATAAATGGCCATATTTATAGTTTTATTTTGTTGAAACCCTTTTTGTTCATTGCACAAAATTTAGCCAACTTTAATTTAAATAGTTATAAAATAATTGTAGTTTTTAAAACCTTCGGCACTGCTCCTGAAACTTAACTATGCACTAAAAACATAACTACAACCAAAACTTCACAATTTTGCTTATAAAAAAGAAAAACTTCTAAAATTGAAGTAATTTTAATAATTTAAATCCAAGTAATTTTAATAATTCATTCCATACATTTAATTCCATTAGTTTTCATGTTTATGTGGTACTTATTACAAAAAAATGTGCGAACTGTGTTACGCGCCTAACATGCCGTCAAATGCTACTTAGGGAATATTGGGTTTGTGATGATATAGATGATGGTCTATAATGCTATCTGTATCACCTATCTTTCGCAAGTTTTTCATCTAAAGTCATAATTTTTAGCTAACGGTGTGACGAAATATAATATGAGTAATTTTGTATGGTATTTATAACTTCGTCATTGCCATTATCATTACTCTTCTATATGAGTACACTGTTAAATATAGATATACACATCTCTTTCCAGGTTGTCTAATCAATGGTTTCGAAGAGTTATATAAATATTCAATATAATTTTTGATTAGGTAATAAAGTAACCCAAGTTATTACTAACATAAAATTCCGTTTTTCGAAAAAAAATTATAGCCTTACCTGTCTACAGATATGGCAACTAAGTTGAAAATGCTCGAAGTTGAGCATGTGACGTCCATGGCGATGTAGCAGTCGCACACGAAAGCTGGCAGACACCATTCGCCGTTTAACTGTCACAGATAAAGTTTATAAATTGCAATAGGAATTTAAAAAAACTTTTGGTAAATCTAAATGCGTGCCTTAAGTACTCATTTTATACGTCAATTTTTAAAGTATTTTAAATACACACAAGTTTACACAAAAAACCTTGTTACTAATATTTCTAATTTTCCGAAAATTTTATGTCAAACATCAATAGAAAAAGTTCGAAAAATCCAGAAGTGCACGACTCATATGATCGAGAAAAAATGTAGAAAAAATGTTTCAACAACAATAGAAAATATTATTTTTAATTTTACTATGTTATTGTTATTGAGATTCAAAACTCATTTATTATTGTTAATTGAAAAAACTTAACAGAATTATTTTAAAACGATAAGAAATTAACTGTATATGATATACTTTAATTTTTAGGTATTTGTACTCAGGCATGACGGCATTGACGGCATTGCGCAGTAGCTTATCAATGAGTTATAGCGCTGAGGGCCGCGGGTTCGAATCCCGCACGAAACAAGTATTTATATGGCCTACAAGTGATTTTTACATGTCTGGATAATTGTCCTCGTGCAATTTATGTACGTAAACTGCCGTACTGCCTAATCAATACAGGAGAAAATCCTAAGCATTATCTAAAAAACTAGTCTTTTTTACCTGACTCGTTACTTATTTTTTTTAATCAAATTTATTTCGTTTTCAAAAAGTTTTTCATCTAGTCAAGTCTAACCAGTATTTTAATTTAGCATTCACTCAGGTCATTCCATATACTCAACGACGTACGTATATGTATATTTATCTAAAAATCCTACGCCCTTCTAGCGAAACAATATATTGTAATGAAAATCTGTGATTACAAAAATAATAATAATATCTTAGCTTGGTCAAGTATATATCAAATTTGGGTTTTGTAATTTTTTGTTTTTCTACAGCGATCGATATTTTCATGACGAGCCATTGTGAACAAACGATACAGTAACCTACTCACGACGGTGGCCAAGCCCGCACCGCTTTAGTAAAACATATTACCTACACTTCAGATTAAGCAATGAAAATGTCGGTATTTCTCAGTCAAAAAAAAATTTATTTTAACTAAACAAAACAAAATTAAAGTAAAAATCGCTGAAGTATTTAACAACTATTTATCGATAATATTCAGGCAAACATAGATGCCACTAACAATCATAAATCTTGTAAAATAAATACCAACAGTAAATCTCTGTTCATGCCGCCTAGTGTTCCATTAGATATTCACAAAATAATAATGTCGTTAAATAATACAAGTAGCGTGGGATACGATGGCATTGCTACAAAAATATTAAAACACATATCAATGGAAATATGCGGACATCTAAGACATCTAATCAACCTAAATATTAGCGCAGGTATATACCCAGATGCCTTAAAAACATCAATTATAAAACCGCTGTTTAAGAAGGAAAATAGAGAACTAATGGAATATTATCGGCCCATCACTATTCCCAAATTTACAATTTTAATTAAACAAACAAAACAAAAACATCTCACTTATTCCCGTAATTTAAAAATATTTGAGAAATATATATATATATAAGGAAATATATAAATTTATTAAAAAATATAACATTTTATATGAGGAACAAAAAAGCATTTAAACCACATAGGACAATCAATATGGCCATATATGACTTTATATACAATATTATTAACAATGTCGATTAACGTAGACATGTCTGTGGCATATTTTGCGACATGACAAAGGCATTTGATTATGTAAATTACGCTACTCTTTTAGAAAAACTTGTAGCCTATGGCATTAGAGGCAATGTTCTTAATCTAATTGAATCTTACTTAAAGAATAGAATACAAATAACTGAAATTAATCAAATTAATATAACAAATAAGAAGGAAGAGATATTTCGATCGTTCAACCGCGAAGATAAATTTGGAGTACCACAGGGGAGTGTGTTGGGTCCTTTTATGTTTATATTGTACATCAATGACTTACCTAAATGCATCCCAGTAACACTGTTTGCGGATGATACCACAGTGACAATACCATGTAAAAATGTATAGACCTATGAAAATGGCATTAATAACTCCTTAAAATTAGTTGTAAACTGGTAAGATGAAAACAATTTAAAAATAAACTTAAATGAAACAAAAGTTATCCATTTCAGTCAACGGATTCCTAGCATGAGCCTAAATGTACACTACATTAATGATGTTGTAAAAGAAGTTGAAACTGCAAAGTTCCTGGGTCTCGAAATAGATAAACATCTTAACTGGAAAGCACACATTAATACTTTATGTAAAAAAATTAGTAAAACCGCATATGCTTTACATATTTTGTCTTCAATAGTATACACAGATGCACTCCTCACTGCTTACTACGGCTTAGCAGAATCCCACCTCCGATATGGAATAATATTTTGGGGTAACTCAATAGAAAAAGAATCAGCGTTTAAGGCTCAAAAAAGATGCATAAGGGCGATGTTAAAGCTTAAAACTACCGATAGTTGCATGCCATATGAGTATTTTAAACAGTATAAAATACTGAGATTACCCTGTTTATACATACTAGAAGTAGCAATGTTTGTTAAATTACATTCAAAACGTTTTAAACGCCTTGACCAAGTAGTTCCACGTAATAGACGCGACGATATCCTTTTGTGTCATCAATCCGCTAAGACAATCACTCCACAAATCAATCCACTAATGCGCAAAAGTATATACTGCATGGCTCCAGTCATATATGATAAAATACCAAAAAGTTGGAAAGAATTGCCGCTATCGACATTTAAAAAAGGCTTCGTAGCTTCTTGACAGTCAAAGCATACTATAGCATAACAGAATTTTTGACTGAAAAAAAAAATTATTTTGAGCTTAAGACTGTATAATGTTAAAAATTTGAATTATGTTTGTTTTTGTGTTATTATTATATTTTGTTATAGCTGTTTTGGTGATCAGTTTATATTTCTGTATATTTTGCATGCCTACTGGTAAAATATGGCTGAACTCACTACCTTTTTATATGCAAAATAAAATATCTTTATCTTTATCTTTAAAGAGCCACTTCCCTTCTTCTTCTTCCTTCGACTTCCCACATGATCGAAGAAGAGATTAAAAAATAGATTGCGTTGAACAATTGATATTTTCAAAAGTTATCGTTTTTACGTCTCCATGCAGACTTAACAAGTCTACACTATAAGCCATTAAAACCACTTTTTAATGTAAAAATAGCAATAAATCTATTTAAAAAGTTATAAAAAGTTCAACAATCAATTGTCTTTCTAACAATGTGCTTGTTATATCATTTATATGTTCAATATGATTGTTAGATACGATTTCATGCGACAAAATAGTGGATTCTTGAAGAACATACATACGCACTATGCTCTTAAGGTATGCATAAAAATGTAGGTGGTAGAGCCACACTACATTGTGTTATTAGGACTGCATTTATTACAGTCTATCAAATGTCTGAACATAGTCTCTCCCATGCATTATCTCATATTTGCTATGGTAGCTATTTACACAATTAATTTTTTGGCATACATAATTAACCCCTGTTTTAAGTGTTTTCATATTTTTAATTTTAAAACGTAATAATATACTGTAACTTAATATTTAAAATATCATGCTGGGGTTCTTGCTGTTTTTTTTTCTGTCAGGTTTTTGAAAATAGTTAAAGTTTGAATAATTATCACTAATTATTCAAACTAACTATTTTTCTTTCTAATAATTTATCTATTATGTTGAATAAAAATAATTCCATTATATTCTATTATTGGTGGGATAGAATAAATGTGTAGTAGCGGTGTAAGAATATCAACTACCCCATATTGCCCCGTGACTGTTTTAAGAGGCAACAGAGAAAAACAAACCAAGAAATGTGTAGCAGCGTCTCCATAATAACAACTAAAATATGAATACCCCCATGTGAGACTGTCCAAGAGGAGGCCTGTGCTCAGCAGTGGACATTAACAGGCTATAATGGATGGATGGCTGAAGCGTAAACAATGCTGAATACTATGTTTTTTTTTTTAATTAACAGAGCAGTTTTTTTTAAATCATTACAATGCACCCTTGGAAAAAAGGATAAAAAGGGCGGACATAATATCTAAATGCATTCTCTACCAGTAAAGCTGAGAATTTGACGAAGGTGTAGCAATTGAGAAAAAAATGCAAGGAAAGAAACTGAAATAAATATACTCTATATTACACTGCTAATGATGAAATGAATTATTTTTTAATCAAAAGAAAAACTTAAAAACAAACTGCGAAAAAAATCTTAAAACACAACAAAGCTATGTGAATATTTTGTTTCAGGCAACAAAGTCAAAACAGAGCCTCGAGTAAGAAAAGTTTATTCAATATTTTTTAAAAGCATTTTTTTTTTGTTAACCCTTTTCAATCTAGTCTGTCAACGGCGGTGTTCTCTGTAGCTCTAATAGTCATGGTCCGTTTGTTCTGAGGTTGCTACATTTTATCATTCGAGTACTTTATGTTTGTGAAAAGTTGGAATAACGGACAAAGACCTTTAAGCGTACTGCAGGGATAACCAATCATTTTGCTATTTTCCTTCAATAGTTTTGATCTCTGTTTCAGATTCAGTTTAATGCTGTTTGTTTGTGAGTTTATATCGAGTCAGAGAAGAGAAGAAACAGCTCTAATTATGATGATGTTTTAGATGTATTTTTTTCAGATGTTTTTGCCTTAAGTATATTGTAAAAATATTGTAATGAATTTATTAATTTGTTTAATGTCATTGAATGAAAAAGTTATAACACACGAAAAAATAATAATTAAAGCAAATTCGTCAATATAATCAATCACTGCATAATTTTTAATTGGTCATGTGGTAAGAATGAATGAGGAAAGGGTGGCAAAGAAAATTTATGTTGCAGAAGTGAATGGCAGAGTCGGAAAGGGACGTCCTAGGCGAAAATTTATTGACCAAAGTGGCGATTTATTGAAAACGGGCCAAATTAGGAGTACCCTTAACCGACGAGCATGTATGCGTAGGTGTATGGATGTGAAGGAGGCGAGAGAGGTGTGTCAGGATCGTACCAAATGGAAGTCTGTAGTCTCTGCCTACCCCTCTGGGTGACAGGCGTGAGTGTTTATGTTATGTATGTTATGTTGCATAATTTTGTAAAATCATAACCATTAAACAAGTACTTAAAATAATTTGCGGTTTTATTAAGGTGTTCCAGAAAAGCAGTTTGACGGCAAGGATTTAGTTCAGTCGTTAATCAAGGCGGTCGCAAATGTTGTCAAAACGTTGTGCAAAGCAAAAAAAATTGAAACCGCAACAAGCAAGCAAGTTCATCTTGCTACAATATTCGCATGGTGCTCTTGAAACCAGCTTATAGCGAATATTGTAAATGATCTAACATGCTTGAGTCAAGCAAAATTCTAGGTACATGCTTCAAGCTGCTTGATTGTTTGGCAACTCCTTAGCTCGCATTCTTTGTTAAATATTTATTACTTCAATCGCTTATGATATATTCAGTGCTTATGTATCTTGGAGCAATAACTAAAGCATATCATATAAATAAATTTTTAAATAGTTCTAAATCTTCAGAGCCAATACTCTGTTTCCACGTTTGGTCGTTGACTGCTACTGTTGTACTTTTGCCAATGTCAAGTATAATAAGAAATTATACTTTATAATGATTAGTTTAAAAACTCATTCACCATAATATGTTGAAGTTTTTGGGAGATTTAGCAGCGTGAGCTAGACGTCAGTGTCACAACCACAAAGCACCCAAGCAGACATCACCATCAGAACAGTTGTTTCATGATTCCTACAAATAGTTCACATGCGCAGACATTTAATACACAAAATTGGATTACTTTTACATAAAAAACTCACTTAAGACCATTATTTAAAGTTTAACCGATAATTAATGAGCAGCAATGTACCGGCGGTCGTTTCGCACTAACCTCAGAGCTAATAATATTAAGGTCTTTTTTATTACAGAAATTTGTGATTTTTTTATAAAATTACCCTCGTTCGTCGCTAAATTTCTTTTTTACACCAGCCAGGGAAAGTCTAGTGTTGGTTTACTTGCGAATTCGAACACGGATTTCTTCGTTTGCATTCCATATCTTTCACAATAACGCTGCTCTCACTTATGTTTATAGTTTTATAAATTGTATATTTCAAACGACTATTTACCACTGTTATTTCATTCAACTTATTGATCAACACATTTTTGAGAATTTACAATATTTTTTAGTATTTATATAAAATAATATAGAATTTCTCGAAAAAATATAATTCTAATTTTAATAACGAAAATATTTTGTATTGCTTTAGCTCCGTAGACCTCAAGTAGAGCTCTGGAACTGGCAAGAACCTCTGTTTTTTTTATTAACTTGCTTTTATCTGTTCTTGCTGTTTACAAATTCGACTTTTAAACTACTTCCCAATGAGCTAGAAACTTGAAACCTTAAATGCTTAGAACTGGATGACAACGCAATGAAGTCACAATAGTGTCCATATATTTGTTCATTTTTCTGTTTGGTAAAATTTTGCAATCGATTTTAAACTAATTTATGGTAAGGTTGATTTTTAAGTTTCATTTTCTATAAACAAAACACAAAAAATTAAGTGGCGTCATTAAGTATCCCTTATTTTATTTTATTTAATTTTTTACAGGAGAGGGTGGCAAACGAGCATACGGTTCACCTAATGTTTAACGACTACCGCCGACCATGAAACTGCAACTGGTGCGTTTCAGACCTTTTAGAAAGGAGTAAGCTCTTTTCTTGAAGGTCCCTAAGTCGTATCGGTCCGAAAAAATCGCCGTTGGTAAACTATTCCACAGAGAGGTCGTACGTACTTCTAGTGAAACGTACAGTTGTGGACCATCAAGCATACATATGGTGTGGATGGTATCGATAGTTTTTCCGCGATGTGCATTCATGAAATTTGGTGCCTGTGATTCAATTGTGAACAATTCCTCAGAGTAGACTCCCCGTGGTAGATGCGAAAGAAAATGGAAAGATATGCAATATCTGGTATATGCAAGAGAAAATGCAAAGAGATGCAACATCTCTTCGCAGCGCTAGTGAATCGAGCCGATCGAAAAGCACTCGGTCACGTCGGCGAGCTGGTACTGGGGAGCCCACAGATGGGAACAATATTCCATGTGCGGCCGAAGCTGCACCTTGTACCGACGCCTTGTGCCGGCATGAAATAGTGACCTGCTCTGCTGGGCATGTACCAGCTTTTTAGAGGCCAATTTAGTCTTCTCTTCCAAGTGACCACGAAACTGCACGTTACTCGATATGTCGACGACAACGATTCTGATACTGGTCGAGGCAACAAGGGCTTAGCCTTGAAACTGAGGAGATATTACAAAGGGGTTCTTTTGAGCGATAAACGCGCAAACTGGTGTCTTCGGAGAATTAAACTGGACTAGATTTAGTCACCCTCTAAACACTGCTGAGCAGAGCAGGACAGTAAGTATTTCATGCTGGCACACCACCTGCAACTTTACAAGGCGCAGGTTCGGCCGCACATGGAATACTGTTCCCATCTCTGAGCTGGAGCTCTCCAGTACTAACACCTTCCACTTGAACGCATCCAGCGCAGAGCGGTTCGAATCGTCGATGACAGAGTGCTTTCCGATCGGCTCGATTCACTAGCGCTGCGAAGAGATGTTGCATCTCTTTGCATTTTCTCTTGCATATACCACGGGTAGTGCTCTGAAGAATTGTTCGGATTAATCCCAGCCGCTATATTTCACGAACGCGTTCTGACTTTGCCTTAGAAATGACTCTTTTGAAGGACCTGGAGGCGGTATTATACTTCTTTTTTAGGGCGCTGGTGCTTACATCCCGGGACGTTGATTCTTCAGCCCATGCTTGTTAGCACTCCTGCTTATAGCATGATTTTATTTTACGGAGATCTGCCTCCGATGGGCACCAGAGAGCAGAGGAAGGAATAAAAGGTTTCATACCCTGAAGTACTACATCAGCGACAGAATTACCAAAAATTTCAGAATCGTCCGACGAGAAGCAAACCTGCCCCCAAGGGTAGGATGCAAAAAAGACCGCATCCTATCCTAATCAGCCGACCTATAGTAACAAACACGGTAGCAGCCTGCAGAATGCAACCGCGATTTCAGCGTGATTTTCTGCGGGCATCACACTCCGGACTAGATAATGATTCGAGGCGCCAATATGGACATGGACGGGGACTCGATATTTGTCTGGATGAGAGATCAGCAGAAGATCCATCAGGGAAGGTGGATGATCCTCCACATCTGAAATCCGCGTAGGCGAAGTAACCAATTGTGTCAGACCATATGCCATGGCAAAATCATGAATAGATCTCCCCGCATGATCGGTTAAACCTGTACCAAGCGATTTGGCGTGGTGGGCATTAAAATCGCCCAGGATCATGATCTCTGTGGTGGGCATCTCCTGTAGCAATGAATCTGTAGCCATTTGGACCTGGTCGAGGAGTCGGTCTGGCATTACCGCTATGGGTTGGTAGTCGCTGTCTACGCGTAACCAAAGGATGGACAGGTCCGAACCTTTAAGACTGCTGAGGCGTCGAGAACATATATCTTCTTTGACGTGTACGCAAACTCCAGCCCGAGGCACAAAAGAGTGTTCCAGTTTGTACCACGAGTAGGAGAGATACGAAGCATCAGCCGTAGAGGACACCTGCGTCTTGGTCAGAACGCTTCCGAGCATAAGAGTGGACTGGTTTCACCGTCTCGAGATGGTAGTGGATGGTGTTCAGATTCAGGTTCGAGTAAGGTCCCTTGATATTTCAGAAATTCACAGATAGAGTTGAAGGGGTTGCTATTGTCTTATTGTTCATCCATGCTGCAGCTATATTACTGGTATAGTTGTCGCACGAATGGGTCGGCTCGACTGGGGATGAACCACGCTCTTACAGAATACCAACGTAAAATAGCAGCTTAACGCTGCTGTGTTTCGCATGGTGAGTGTAGAGAACTGGAGACCCTTTTTGCTGGAAGCGAGGCATTCCATCTCCGTCCTCACGTGTGACAACGCATCTGCATTTTGATTCGTAATCGAGGGGAGATGTAGATGGCTATGGGCCGCAGTAAGCACTTACCATCAGGTGGAGTTTGTGCTCGTTAGTCACCCCTATCCTATAAAAAAGTTATTGTCTTGAGCAGAATTTTCATCAGAATACGCGGGGCAGGCTGTGCACCCACGCTCAGTAGTGGAATAGCTTGGTCGTGGATGCTCAGCGAGGGATTCTCCAAGGGTGCTGGTACCCTCATGGGGCAGTCTCACATTTAATTCCGCTACCTTGTTGATAGGGAGGGGAGAGGGGGAATCGGGCCTCCGACCACTTGCACTTATCAGACGAAACGCGGAACCAGAGCTTCCACTTCACGCCGGTATTCTATGAGGTTGTGGCACCACTACCCCGGTTCGAGCCGGCCCATACGTGCAAAATCAAAAGCTGCCACGTGGTTCTACTACTGTGATAAATCTTGCTGTTATAAAACGTGTACTGCCTTGTTTTCAAAACTGTAACGGGAGTATCTGCACACCGACAAGCATCGTCAAAAATTTTGTACACTTTTTATTGTGAGTTATTCGATCACTATGATGCCTTCTTGAATCACTTAGGGTGCATTCAGGGACTACCAGTGGTCAATAGGTGAGATGCATGCTCGTTTGCCCCCTCATATCTAAAAAATACATATATCGTCAGGATTATTGAGTTTACTTACTAAATAATATACTCCGAAGGGCATCACGACGACCGCCACCAACAGGTCCGCAACAGCCAAGCTTACTATAAAATAGTTTGTTGCAGTTTGCAAACTCCTCTCCCGCGCTACACTCATAATAACTAGCACGTTACCGAATAAAGTTAAAACCGGAAACACTAGTAAAGATAACGCCCACAAGTTATAACTATGCACATCACTAGTACACGTTCTATTTTCGTAACTAAAATTTGAAAACGTATTGTTCAACATCCTTTCGAAATCATAGAATTCACTTAGAGATTCGTTCAAATCTAGATTAGTTTCCAAAATAGTTTGATAGTTCGTTTCATTATCAGTTTTATTTTCCACGAAAGTTCGATTTAGATAAACTGCCTCAGGATCAGGAGTTTCGAAAACTATTGTCGTTACTCTCGAAACGTTCCGGCATTGGTTAATACATATACTATGTTTTGGAATATCCATCTTTATTCTTTGTGTAATAAGCCCGATGTACCGTTCATCTTCCCAATTTATTTACTTGGATAGGGTGTTCTGTTTATTGAGCTTCTGGTTTCAGTTTTGATCTTGCAGAGCAAAATTTTCCCATTCATTTCTGTTTAATCTGTAACAAAATAGGTTTTCGTTAGCGTTGCTTTTGATTTATGTTTATTGAATACTGTTATATAGGTATATGACAGATTTGTATTAGGGTGTGTATGATATGGGATTAAAATAAAATTTATTCTTCCTTATTTCGTATTTCGAAAAGTAGTTTATAATTATTATCACATTTAATCTAGGGACAGTTTCAAGTAAAAAATACAGCGAAACATATACGAAATATAAGTGAAATTACATAATAAATTTAACAGCATGAGTTTATTTTTGCGAAAACTGTGGCGCCAACGCTGTTGCACTTTGCTATGAAAATAAAGACTATTCTTTAAGCCCAATAATATTAATAAACCACGTATTATTATAAGTTCGAATCATGTTATTTCCTACAAATTAACGAGTACAATTTAAGATCGAACCTAATACAATTTTATTAAAATAATAACGCAATAATATATCTAAGATCCAGTCCCTTTGTTTTCAATTATATGACCGTTAAAACTATATAGATCTATCTCTAAAAAGTATCAAAACAATAAATAAGTCGTTGGACCAAATCATGGCCTTCTTTTTCTTCATCAAGAGTTTACAAAAGTTCACTTCTGAGTCTCATTTCTACTGGGAGTTATTTGCTTAAAGCTTGGCAGGTAAATTGACGCTGCAAAACCAGATATCTTGTACTTTTAACATAAGCTCTTTCGGGCATTTATCATAGTTGCCTCTTACGGAAAGCACGCAGCTACTTGGGATGTTGGGTCCTCGTACACCGCCATCTAAAATTCAAGGGTTGAGTTTTTATAGAAGGTTGATAACCGAGCACACAGTCCACAAGTGAGTAGGTGAAATGGCACATTGTCACCTACATTTATCCTTAATTGCGAATCAAAATGCAAATGAGTTATCGCCCATGAGAACTAAGATGAAATGCCTCGTTTACAATAAAATGGGGTCTCCACTTCTTTACACTCTCCATACGCAATATAGCAGCATTAAACAGCTACATTACGCTCGTATTCTGTGAGAGCTTGTTCCTTGCCCGTTCAAGCCGACTCATTCGTACTACAACCAAGTAAGTTAGTGGCAGCGAGGCTCTACCACGTTAAAAAAAGATATCGTGTTGAAAGTTTTGTAAAACTTGAGAAACCGAAGTTTGACGTCCGTTAGCAGTCATTGAGGTGCTAACATTTACTAATTGCTCGGTGGTTAACTAAAACATTACCTTTACAGCCTATTGTAGTCCACTGCTGAACATAGGCTTCCCCCACAAATTGCTTCACAGGGGGATATTTGCCACAGTTGCCACGCTTGGCAAGCGGGTTGGCAACCGCAGTTCTTTATTTTTAGTCGTTATTAGGAAGACGCTGCTGCCAATCTCCTGGTTTGTTTCCCTGTATCGCCTCTTACGACACCCACTGGACGATATGGGGTAGTGGATATTCTTACACCACCACTACACTCGGAACATGGAAAACATTGTAAAGCAAGATTTTTGAGGAGTTTAAAATATTTCGAAGACATGTTAATGAACACATCACCAGCTGTTAAACTTTTTTCCACGCGAAAACTTTAATACATCCATCTCATAGTATATCTCACGGGAATAACAATGCCCAGATGTAGCGGTTAATTATTTTATGACTTTACTTTATTAGTATTTTTAAAGATATAAATGTTGAAAGCAGGAAAGGCAACTAAGTAACATATGTACCAAGGCAACATATATGTACGTAAGTATCAAAAATATTATTATTTGGAATCATAATTCCGCCAAACACTGCCAAAAAATAATGAAGTTTTGAACACAAAACGAGAAAAGAAAAACATATATAAATAAAAACATTGAACAATAAAACATGAAGAAAATACCCTCTTTTAAGAAACATGCCGGTGATGCTTCCATTGATGTTGTCTTCATACGGCTTCGTATTTTACAAAATATTTAACTAATGGAGCGGAATGAGAACGTCTCACGTTCACTTTTTCCGAACTGATGACTATGTTAAATTAGAGTTCACGAGTACAGACTTCATTTATTTTCCAATTAGAATGTAATCTTATCAATCGATGTGAAATAAATTATCCGTATGCTAGATACCTTGTGTCACCTTCGCTAATATAACTGATTAGCGGCCCGTCCCGGCGTTGACCGGGTTGTAATTTTTTTTTGTAGAATTAGGGTGACAAACGGGCACACAATCCACCTGGTAGTAAGTTGATGCTGTGGCCCGGGGACATCAAAGTCTATCCTCGATCAAGAATCAAAACACACATGGGTTACCAGGCCTGAGGACTAAGATAGAATGACTCGTTTCCAGTAAAAAGGCTCTCCGGTTCTCTTAAGCTGCTATTTTACGCTGGTATTTTGTGAGAGCGTGGCTTTACTCCACATAGCAACAGCGTAGCTCTATCAAGAATAATTATCTGTCTTTCATGAGATACTAGTTTTAATAATTTGAAAACTTTATGACAAACCATATTTTTGTTTCTTTGATTCTTCTATTGAGAAGATCTATTGATAAGAGATTGATTGATTTCTATTGAGAAATTTTCTAAAAAAATGGTTATTGTAGGTTATCCTTGGAAGATAGACATATTATTGCTTCAGAGTGCACCATTGCTATGTTAATATCATCTCACAGGATATTGACATATTTTCATGTAATGAGACGAAATTCATAATTGCAGCATACATTTTCAGCAGCGTTGAAAATCGTAATGTTTTTAATTAGTATTTTATTTTAACAAAAATTTAATAGATTTCATACAAAAAATCATTATTTGTCAGTAGTTTTCTTATATTTAGGTTAGATATAGGATCGCATTGGTTTAATAACTGTAATGATGATATAATTCTGTAATAAATAAATAATTATGCTATTTCGAAAATTTTTAAGAACTTTTCACGAGGAACAATTCAGCCATACATTATTTTCTTGACGACGACGACGACGCACGACGATCTAGTTGGCGAATATCTTAATAACTTTTAGCCATAATATAAGATCCGGGAAAAGTTTCTTCCTGTTTTATATACCAATTCAAGACTTTTTATATATATATATATATATATATATATATATATATATATATATATATATATATATATATATATATACTTAATAGGATTGTAATATGTACGTGCCATTTTGTTCGATAGCTTGTTATCACCTTGTTCAACAACAATTCCGTTGCTGTATAAATTTTGGTATTTTTGATAAAAAAATGCTTCAAGTAGTTTTTACAGTCATCTCTTGACGTTAACTTAACACTACCCAAAGGATTCTGAAGTGACCGAAACATGAGAAAATCTGTGGGTAGAAACTTTTTCCCCCGACCTAATATTTATACACATAATATGTAGCCTATGTACATTTGAAATAATGTACCTTTCAAATGGTGAAAAATTTTTTCAAATAGGTGTAGTGGTTTCGGGAATGACCGTCCACATATATATAAAAACTAAAACTTCTCACTTACTCTTTATAATATTAATATAGATGTAAACTTATTTATAAATATGGAATTTATGATATGATAGAATTGTTTGAAGGTATTTTATATGTCATGTTCGCTCAAGTAAAGCCGGTCATGCCAAAAATGTCTAGGGTCCGTATTAGTATACACATAGTTGTCAATGGCTTTCCCATATTAAAGCACATATTGTTATTAGATGGACCATAAATAGTACAACAAAAGGCGCTGTATAATATTTTAGCGCTATTGTTGGCGTCTGTCTACAATAAGCTTATTTATTAATGTAGAAAGGCGCCATTGTCCTGTCTCTTTAATTTAACCTTGGCACACAGGGAGGAATTTGGTAAAAAATAATAAGATCAATTCACGCAGATAATAAAACATATTGTATCCTTGTTTTTAATTACCTTTTTAATTATTTAAATGACTATTTAATGAATTAAAATATTTTATAAAGAATTTAGTATTAATTTAAAGTGACACGCTGCGTAAAGTCATCTCCAGACTGTTTTTCGTCACCAGTTTTAGTGATTTTATTATTCAATCTTTATGTCATTCCCTTTTAAGAAAGGCTACAAAAGGCAGAATTACTCCTTATAGGCATTATCTACTAGACAATTCACGGTTTTTGACACAAACAGAATACTTTGTAAATATGAGTAATTTGGTTCATAAATATAGAATTTTTTATTAACTTGGTAATAGCGCCCGCCATCTATAAGATTTTACAAAAATATGTAATACGGATTTTATGGCGTATAGTTTTTTATTCATTCGAATATTATACATGCCATAAAAATTCACTGCCAAATATACTGCTCACCAATTGATTGTCTCCTAGGGTCTTTGTAGGGTCCTACAGCTTTTTTTATTATAGATATGATAGGGAAGTTGCTACTGCTCATCGCTTATTTTAGTTCCCTCTGTGTCACTTACGATATCCACGGGATGATATGGCTTAGATTGTCTTACGCTGCTACTATAAAGCATTCGAAAAATTACTTTTTTTAATTTCCGATACAATAAAATTTTATGAAAACCCAAGCAGGTTACTGAAAGACACAGTAAGCTCGTGTAGATTGGTCAAAAATAATAATTAAAAGCTGAAGCAGTCCGTTGACTATGATATCAGGGCGCCAAATATGTATTTAAATACTCCTGCGACTATGGGTTCTGGTAAAGCATTCGGAACGTCAGGAATTCAAAATAAGTATACTAGCTGGTAGGACTCATTTTCTGCCTGGAGTCCATACGGCTAAGAGTAGTAATTGCTGCTGCAAAATAGCAGTGGCTGCACTGCTTTTGGTGGAAAATCGGAGACTCTTTTTACTGGAAACGAGACAATCAATCTTAGTTCTCAGAGTTGACAGCGCATCTGCATTTTGATTCCTAAT